TCATTTCCAACCGATGAAATCCCTGAAATTGCCTGAACTCGTCAGTTCCAAATCCCTGGAAGCTTCTGTTTCTTGCCGGAATAGGAAGCAAAGTCACGAATTCTCAATACACAACCGATGAAATCCCTGGAATTGCCTGAACTCGTCAGTTCCAAAACCAGCCTCCAATCGTAACACTCAGAGAAGGAAGCAAGCAAAGAGAAGGCTCAGGAGTAAGAGACGGGGTCGTCCGTTGGTAGCCTTACGAGAACTGAGACATCGTCGACAATTTTGAAACCATGAATCAGCTTCCGATCAACACTGAGAGAATCGAGAAAAAGAAATCCGTAGAAGGCGCAGAGAAGACAAGCCAAAGCTGGACTGGTGGACTTGCCCATGGGAATGCCGATGATCTGCTTGAGCACCACGTCACCAGCCCGAATATATGTATTGTCAAGATCATGAGAGATAAAACTGAGAATAGAGGACAAGTTAATCAAGACCCACCCCTTTTCACCCTTCCCTTTCATCAACCTTGCCACCTTACCACGTGTCCTTACCATAACACCAGAGTAATCTTCGTTTCTCCAGTAGTCAATAACCCAACGTAAAGCCTTCAAAATGGACTGGTGAGGCAAATTCGAAAACATCTCCTTCACGTCGTATGACCTACCGACGAGTCGATCACCTCGTTTCAAGTCCTTGTTGACATCCTTCAGCCTAGGAACTAAATCCTGTGTGGTTCTCATATTAAAGTGAAAGTTCTTCGGCAACTTCCATAAGAGCTCATTGATAACATACGTCATTCGTTTACTGCAGAGCGCGCCACCTTCAGAAATTATGGACAAATCGGTCTCCATCGGGAGATGTCCTTATGTTTTGGAATACACTAGGCACGCCCCAAGCTGGCACCATCATTCCATTGTCTAAACTCATCGAACCCTTTTCGTTTGAAGTCCTTTTTACATTGTTGCACAATAGAAGACTCAAAGTAATCAACACGGAACAGAGAGGGCTTATCAAAGAAGAGCTGCTTTATACCCATCTGGTATACGACCGGACAACATACGAACGTGTCACCGGACATCGTACCAACAGAGAAAATACACACAATGAAAAATAAACCGAAGAAGATGACGTGAGTTTTATTATCATGGCGCCATCACCTCGTCCCCACAATGCTTGAAGTACAATCAAGGAATCTCAACCCTTCTACTCATACGTCACTCAAGTTGAGGATAGACACTACAACCTATGTCTTTAAATATGTTTCTAGCACTCAGGCACACCGGACCCGTCGTGCACCAATCTCATGACACTGAAAAAATACCAAGCTCACTTAACCGAAAAACCTATCCGGGTTCAGTTCACCTGCAGGCTGCAGGCCTGAAAATGCAATTCCCGGTACCACGCTTACCCTGATAATGCCCAGGTTCAGTCGTGCACCAGTTTCCTGACCCATAAAAATAACCAAGCTCACTTAACCTGGTACCGGCCCAGGTTCGGTCAGCTCATAGTTCTAAAAAAAACATATCCCCGCGCCCTTAGGCTTCAAAAGAAAAACCCTGCTTACTTACCCTGGTATCCGACTAGGTTCAGTCTGTTCACAACAACAATATTTTCCCGCGCCCGTAGGCTTCCAAAATAGAAATAAATGCAAACGGACAAAGTAGATAAAACAAACTGAATCGTCCCGACGATCACACTGGACTTCGCACGATACTGGTCGTGGAGTCCGCCGCTTTCATTCAAGTTCGACATCCTGTACACCTGAGCTTGCATATCCTACCTCCACGCTTCCAAACACCACGTTTACTGTGGCGGCCACGCGGTCGTAAGCAGACAATCCCTTCTTCGTGGGATTTCCAATCCCGCTGACACTTACCTTTGGAATTTTAGAAAGCTCGGCGCCACACTGGTCGTAGCATAGAACACCTGACTGTGACAGGTGAACCTGGCTACATACATTCCACCAGGCCCTCCCCTAGCGCATTTCCTCCTAGCTACCTCTGAATCTGGACTCAGTACCTCTTCATTCATCAGTACAAATTACATCAGCAGGTTCGATTCTGTCGATCTTACCCATCGTATTTGTACTACCTCCTGAAACACTCGAGCGAAAATAATCCTCTGCAAGATACACAAGGGGAGATCAGGGGAGATCAGGGGAGATGGCGGGCTTGTCACCCGTATGTTGAAACAAAATCAGGTTACAAAACCCTTCTTCTTGCTATGAAGCCACGCATCCGCGATCTCGAACATTTCAAACAAGAACGGATCTGGATCCCTCCTTCTCATCCAGCGAAGGCCGACAAACACTGGGTACCTCAGTTTCCACAGTTCCTCAACTAAACTGAGGATATTGAGCATGGTAACCCCACGGTCATTCGAGTTACTGGCAATCCGTAGGATAGTATTAGCAACCGTTGCGTATTTTGCCATCTGTGGCCCGAACGAACAAAAGTCTTTGTACGTTCGAAACCGAAGCAAACCCTCTTTCCAAATCGTGTCGGCAGTCAAGTTCTTGAACTTATGCGACATTACCAGCTGCGCTGGTTCCTCACTGACCAGCAGTCTGGTTTCCAAAAAGTCCAGCATTCCATTTTTCGGGTCCGTTTGCTCAAGTTGCAGTCCCTTCGGGTAGCACGTAGTGATCCGATCAAAGTGGTCGGCCACCATCCTTCTTTCGTCGTGGTTATCCTGCCAGAAGAACGAGACAACCATCAGATCATCAACGTACCTCTTTCCTATGATATACTTAGCATCCGCTCCTAAAGACGATATGACCTGATATTCGGAAAACATACACATTACGCATGCGAGTGGGGGGCTTGCTCTCCCCCCCATCGGAATACCTTTCTTCTGCCGTAGGATCACCCCACAAACCAAGAAGATAGTGTTCTGTAACTGAAAATCTGTGAGGTCACCAGCTCTAATCGGACAGATTTCCATCCGGCCTCTCCATGTGACTTCCCAAAAGCAGCCTGCTTTTTCCGAGTGTTAATCCGGATCCATTTAATACCCCGTTGTTCAAAGTGCCCCACAATCCATTGAACTGCCTTTTTAATTTCCACATGCGCTAATTGAGTAAACATTTCCTTAATATCATAAGTACGGACTTCAAATCCTCCGGCTTTCCCCAACTTCTCCCCCTGCCTGTTAATCCTTCCCACTTCTTTCTTCAAATCACTAGTAGCCCCCATGTTGAAATGCGGTAATGATACACGTTTAATAAGGATATTAAGTGCAGTGGATAACAGGCCAGACGCAACTCGGAACGGACTGTTAAACGAGGGAACTATTGGTCGCTTCTTCAACTTATCTTTTTCCTTCGAAATGATGTACGCATGCTGCAACTTCCCTTTTTGATCCCATGGAGCCACCTTGTCCAATGAATTCCTACAGTACTTCTCCTTGATCCCCAAAATCACTTCTTCCAGAGAT